CAGACACAAGACTCAGGCTTATTGCCAAATTGGTCATAGTAGGTTGGCTGATAAAATCTTAATGCTTAATACTTAAAGAGCATGGAAGAAAGAACTGGTTTGTAAACTCTCAGGAGGGGCTACTGTTGTTAACCAACAGCATAGCTTTTCAGCCAGGCCATACCATCTTGCACTAAGCTTTAGTATGCTCAGTGCTAGTTAACAATGTAGGGCCAAAAGAAACTACAGCCATACCCCAGCATCTACCAAGGATACATTCCCAAAATGTATAATATTTAGCAGTTTGGCAGAGTAAAGCTACTTTCCCATAAGAATTGGTGTAATAAACAGGGGATATATGCAGGAACTTCAGAAAGAGACTTTAAATACACAGAGATAGTACATATGAGGTAGAGCATCACAGAATGGTTGAGGTTGGGAGGGACCTCTGGAGATCATCTGGTCCAACCCCCCTGTTCAAGCAGGGTCACTTAGAACAGGCTACCCAAGACCATGTTCAGACTAGATATAAGAAAGAAATTTTTTATTATAAGGGTGGTAAAACACTGCAACAGGTTGCCCAGAGAGGTGGTAGATGTCCCATCGCTGGAAACATTCAAGGTCAGGTTGAACAGGGCTCTGAGCAACCTCATCTAGTTGAAGATGTCCCTGTTCATTGCAGGGGGCTTGGACTAGATGACCTCTAAAGGTCCCTTCCAACCCAAACTATTCTATGATTCTACAATTCTGCATCCAGATGGCTTTTGAATATCTCCAAGGCAGGAGACTCCACAACCTCTCCGAGTAACCCATTCCAGTGCTTAGTCACCCTCACAGTGAAAAAGTGTTCCCTTGTGTTCAGCTGTGTTCCAGTTTGTTGTCCATTACCTCCTGTCCTGTCACTGGGCACCACTGAAAAGACCCTGGCTCTGTCTTTTTCACACCCTCCCCTCAGGTATTTGTACACATTGAATAAGATCCCCCGACTTCTATCTTCTCCAGGCTGGACAGTTCCGGCTCTTTCAGCTTTTCCTCATAGGAGAGATGCACCAGTCCTTTAATCATCTTCGTGGCTCTTTGCTGGACTCTCTCCAGGATGTCCATGTCTCTCTTATACTGTGGAGCCTAGAACTGGACACAGTACTCCAGGCGTGGCCTCACCAGTGCTGAATAAAGGGGAAGGATCACCTCCCTCAGCCTACTGGCAACAGCACGGAGAAGCAGGAACAAGGTCAGGGTCACAGATTCATCAAATAGAAGAGATCAGGATCCGAGTAGTGCAACAAAGGAGATGCTGGCGTTTCATAATGGATCATGTTACAGAAGATTTAATCACCATCAGAATTCATTGCTATCGCTTTGAGTAATTTAATGGAAAAGGATGGAAAAGTGAGGTGATAATAACAATTAACAGTGCACTGTATTAAATGATCAGCAACAGAACTCCGAAGTGGTGGATGAAGAAGCAACAGATACAGCAAGGTGTTGCTGTACTTGAGTAACTAAGTCTAGTTCTCTCACTACAGTCAGACTACCATTTAACAGCAAACATTCATAGATCATATAGAGTCTACCTAAAAGTAGCTCAGTGCTCAAACATGTGGCAACACAGATGAGCCGCGCTGAACCTCTTGCAAAGAGGAAAGCATTTCATACCATTTAAAACAGACGTGCTCTTCTCCGGAGCTCGCTGCCCTTCACTGTTTGGTGGCAGTAAATCTGCTGTACACATAGCCTTCTCCGCAAAGTGTTAAGCACACTAGCCTGAGCAGCACTCCAAATGCTAATTACTGCTGCTCCCTGAGCAAGGAAGAAAAAAAAGCATGTGAACAAGACTGAAGAGAAAGGAAAAATGAAGGGGGGATAAAAAAAAAATTAAAAAGTGAATTGGGCAGATGGATCATGAAGTCAAGAGGTAAAATATCATTAGGGGATAAACAGCCTTCCGGAGGCAGAAAGTGTGGAAAGCTTCCCTTGTAATATCACAAAGTAGCTTAGGGGAAGAGAGTTAATAGGTTTAAATACTTTCTCCGGGTCACTGGGATGCGTGCAGGAGACGTCTGGAAGCGGAGGGCTTCCCGCAGCCGGAGCAGCCCCTCACAACAGCGACCGCGGGGCGGCGAGGCCCAGCGCCACCGGC